GATCACTTGATGAAACTTGTAATACCATTGACGAGACGCTTGTTTGAGTCCATAGATGGATTTCTTTAATTTACAAACCATTTGCTTTGCATTGTTCGATACAAAGTTTTCTGGTTGTACCATATAAATTATTTCATCAATGTCACCATTGAGAAACGCTGTCTTAATATCCATCTGATGTAGCTCAAGATCGAAATGCGCTACCAATGTCATTATAGTCCTGAAAGAGTCTTTCGAAGAAATCAAAGAGAAAGTCTCTTTATAATCGATGTCTTCTTTCTGTGTAAAGCCTTTTGCGACAAGACGAGCCTTACACCTCTCTACATCACCTTTCGAATCCCTCTTGGTCCTAAATATCCATTTGCAACCAATGGGTTCCGCACCTTCAGGCAATGGAACGAGGTCCCATACGTCATTGTCCTTCATGGACTTTATCTCTTCATTCATAGCATCGAGCCACTTTTGAGAGTTAGAACTTTCCATGGCTTGACGGAAGTTGATCGGATCATCTTCCACCATTCCAATGTCAACTTCATGTTCTTGAAGAAATACGATGTAATCATTCGAAACCGCACTTCTCCTCTCTCTAGTGGATCTTCTTAATGGCATTGGTTCTTGAGGGTGTAGAGTTTGTTCTTTTGGAACAATTTGTTGATCTTGAGAGGGAGGTATGACATTGTCTTGATCCAGAGTTGTTTCTTGAACAATATCAGGGATAGAAACCTGATAATTGTCAATGGCAATTGGAGGAATTTCAACATATTCCTCCTCAAAGACAAAGCCTTTAACCCTTTCTCCCCCCGCAAACTCAACATCCTCAAAGAACCTAGCATTTCCTGTCTCGAAAATTGCCTTAGTTGTGGGATCATAAAACTTGTAACCCCTGAACCTTTCAGAATATCCAATGAAATAGCAACTGATGGTCCTTGCGTCCAGTTTCTTTTCATTTGGCTTATAGGGCCTTGCCTCAGCTGGACACCCCCAAATATGTATATACTTCAAACTAGGCTTCTTGCCCATCCAAAGCTCATATGGGGTTTTATCAGGAGTCTTAGTTGGAACTCTGTTGAGTATATAAGTTGCAGTCTTTAATGCTTCACCCCAGAGAGATTCTGGTAAAGTAGAATGACTAATCATACTCCTCACCATGTCTTTAAGCGTTCTGTTTCGTCTTTCAGTAACACCATTCATAGTGGGCGAACCCAGCATAGTGTACTGTGGGACGATACCGCATTCCTCTAGGAATTTAGCAAACGATCCTGGATGTTATTCACCTGAATCGTCATATCTGCCATAGTATTTACCCTCACAGTCAGATCTGACGCTTTTAATCCTTTTGCCGAGTTGGTTCTCAACTTCAGCTTTATAGTTTTTGAACATATCCAGTGACTGTGATTTTTCATGAATGAGATATATGTAGCCATATCTTGAAAAGTCGTCTATGAACGTTATAAAATATTGTTGACCATTCCAAGAACCCGTAGGGAATGGTCCACAAATATCCATATGTATAAGTTCTAAGACGTCCGAAATCCTATTGGCTTGAAATCTCCTTTTATTGGTTTGTTTTCCCTTTATAAAGTTGACACACAAATCATAGTCTGTGAAGACAAGAGGGTCGAGAATTTCGTCAGACACAAGTCTCTCAATTCTCCTTTTGGAGATGTGACCTAATCACTTGTGCCACAACGAGGCAAAATTCTCGTCGTTTAATTTTCGTTTTACACCTCGAGTACTTACATGCAAGGTTTCATTATAAGAAGCAATTGTATCAATTGAATAAAGATTATCGTAACCTGATAAAGAACCGGAACCAACCAATTTTGAATCATGAAACAAACTAAATTTTCCATTTCCAAAAGAACAAGTATAACCAAATTTGTCCAAAATAGAAATAGAAATCAAATTTCGTCTAAAAGACGTACAATAAACGTCTCAACAAGATCCAAATAAAATCCAGCCTTTAACAATAATCTAAATTTTCCTATTGCCTCTACTTCCATTCTATTGCCGTCGCCAGCATAGATGTATCTTTCACCATCACTTGGTTTTCGGCAACTCAGGCAACCCTGCATAGACATACTGATGTGAGTTGTTGCACCAGAATCTATCCACCATGTATGTCTAGGTACCGAAGTTAAATTAAACTCAGAACAAACCAAATGAAGAAGAGTACCTTTCTTTACACGCCATGCGTGGTAATTAGTGCAATTCTTCTTCTTATGACCTGCAGCTCCACAGAAGAAACAACCGCCTTCAGCTGGTTCCTTATGCTGTTTCTTTTGCGGTGCCGTACCTGCAGCTTCCTTATTAATCTTCATTTTCTTGTTACTTTTGTCCTTAGAGGTGGTGGCTAAATGACATTTTCTGTTTTTTCATGCTTCAGTCTTTTCTCTTCCCGGACACAATGTGAGATGAGCTCATTAAGGGACCATGAGTCAATTAAAACAAATTTTAAAACTTTAGGGGCCAAAATTGACCAATTCAAAACTTTAGGGATCAAATTTTAAAAATTTGAAACTTAAGGGGTCATAGGGATATCAGAACCAAGTGCACTAACAAGTCTTCAGATAAATTCAACTTGAGTGCCTTTAGTTTTGAAGCAATGTGAGACATTTTCATAATGTACTCCCGAATGTTTTTTTTCCCTTTATACCTCATTGAGACAAGATTTGCCAAAAGTGTACTTGTTTCAGCCTTTTCATTCTTAGCAAACCTCTTCTCAAGGTCCTCAAGGAAACCCTTAGCCGTAGTCATCTTATCGGACATAGTGCCCCGGAATGCTTCGAACCTTAATTTTATAACCCCTAACCCTAATTGCAATCAGGGGTCTCAACTTATCTAATTTACAGAGGAGGCCCCCGCCCCCAAAAATTTTTTTTTTTTAATGAGCAGCGGCGCTCGCCGTTGGCAGCAGCAGTAAGTGCAGCAGGTTGATTGACCCGTAAAGCAAGGTCTAGGTCCATGACTCCGAGAACAATCATAACGTTCTCTTGCCATGCCTTGAAGTTTGTGTTGATACCACTGAAGAGGCTCTGATACCACTTGTTGGATAATTTAGTTCTTTAAATTACCGGATCTTTCATGTTAAATCATTAAGAAATATAAGAATTAAAGCGGAAGCATAACTGAATCTGACGTAGTTAATGCAATATGAATTTCACGGTATGATCTTCCAAATCTACACGCAGTCTCCTTTTCTTCTCTGTGATGGGATGCAGTAGAGAATGAATAATTCGTTACGTGTGATCTGGGACCATAACCTATTTATATGGGGATGCCCTTTGACCTAATTCGGCCTATCATAGAATTAGGATTTGGACCCGGTCTCTACACATATGTAAACACATACTTTAATTGGATACATTAAAACCCAAAATCGAAACCTCATTAGATCACTTTAATCGGGCTCAACCGAATTCGATAGCTTATAATTTAACACACAATTATTCACACATACAAGCCCATCTTTAATTAAAAATTCTTACATTGAGAACATGTTATTAGTATATCTGTATTTTGATTTTTTGTTTGGATTTTGGGTTTTCTAAACTTAATCAAATTACTAAGTCTCTTTTCTAAAAATATCTTAATGTGATGTAGTTTCAATTTACATCCTGTTGGAACTTGAGTAGGGAAAATTGTTCGACATGATGCAGCAAAAATTTGCAGGGATAGTGGAAGAGGTGGGAATGCAAATGAGACTAGAAGAAGCAAGCCTTCGTCATCGTACTTTCTCAATTCAAAGTTGTCTTGAACTTTAGTTGCTCGATGCACTATATCATATTGAATACATGAATGCTATTGATGTGTTGAATTTGAATAATTTATATCGCCATCTCATCTTAGATTATACAAATAGACTGAAAATTGTTGTTATTTCTAAATTTCTAACAAAAGTTGTAACAGAGTAAATTAGATACCAATTATTCAACGAGTGTTTTTCACCTTTTTTTTTTTAATTTCATCACTTTTTAAGTGTTGTCATTTTTTTTTTAAATTTTTCGTATTTGTGTAACTTTTTTAATTTGTGTCACTTTTTAAAAAAAAAAATTGACTTTTTTAGGAAGTGTCACTTTTTTTGAATTTTTATCACTTTTTTTAGTGTTTGTAATTTTTCTTCAATCGGCTTTTTGAAATTTCTATCACTCTTTATAGTGACAAACACCACTTTTTAATAAAAGTGATATTGTATGTAATTTTTTAATAAAAAAAAGTGATAATAAATTTTTAAAAGTGATATTGTGTCACTTTTAAAAAAAAAAAAAATTGAAAAAGTGATGCAATTTTTATAAAAGTGTCACTTTTTAATTTTATGTAGTATTTTTTATTTTCAAAAAACATTTCATGCCCCTATTTGTTTCCTATTATTTGCTCATTAAGATGAAAAATGTGATCGTTATTAATCATATCAAATCACCATATTTAACTTTCTATCTTTTGTGGGGTTCAAAACAATTATATTTTTCATTCTCATTCTTACATTATTGTGGTTCAAACGGGCCCATATGATTTTTCAAAAGATCATAATTTTAAGGGTATTTTTATAAGCTGTCCAGAGAAAATTACCATAATACGCGTTGCATATTTGCAAATTTGCCCGCCAACTAAAATGCAAATTTCCCGCTATTTTCAATCCTCTGGGATAAAACGTGTTAGAACTTAGAAGAAACGACATCGTTCTATCAGGCAGCTGTACAATGTCTTAAAACGACACCGTTGCCATATACGGCCCACAGTGTCCCTCGTTACGGAGAAATCCCCTAAAATATCCTTGAAAACAAAAATATTCCCCATAACTATCCCTTAAATAGCTTGCTAAATTACCGCATTGCCATTGAAGAACCGCCTGCGGCCCTCTCCCACAGATGGCTTTTTCGTCAAACTGCCAAAAATAATTTAACCATTGGGTGGCAACTTCGTAGTTTTTCACCACCTACAGGCCTTCTTTTGAAACCGATACCCACATATATAATCTCGCACTTCGGGTTTTCTGGAATTAAAATCATTTCACTCTCTCTCCGTTCTCTGTTTTCCTCTTGCTCGTTATCACATTTTTCTCTATATAGCAGTTCCATTTTTTGAAGAAAAATTTCATATTTTCTTCGAGCTCTCCTTCTACATTTCTTAACAAATATCTAGACGTTTTCATTCCTTTTTTTAATTTTTCTGTAGTTCAATGTTTGAAACATCCGCACAAGATTTTTTTCTTTGTTTTTAATCCAAGCGTTTGAAGCCCTAGCCCTAATTTTATTGCGTTTCGAAGAAGTCGAAGTAGGCGGTTTCATACACTGAAGCGCGGAGAAAGCTTGCATTCCTTTTATTCGGAGGTCTGATGAAGCTTTACTGAATTTTATTCTTTTCTTTGATTCTTTCTTCGATTTCAACATTTTTATAGAGGATTAAAGTTGAAAAACCCTAATATATCGATTAAAAAAAAATATTTATAATTTGGGAATGCTATTTTTTTACAGAAGCGATCAATTGGGGATGAATGATCGTTTGTTCTGATATTAAGAAGTTTGTTTTGGGATTTCTATTGATGTTTTTAACTTAGTGAACGCACTTTTGATTGAAAACGTTCTATTTAGGGTTAATGTGGTAAACTGGTAATCTTAGGGTTGATTTATTTATTTTTATTTATTTTTTGGTTGGGGTCGGTATTCAGTTTTCTTAGTTTAGAGAGTTTTAAGTCTAATTTGGAATTCATATCGCAAAATTTGCTTCCCTTTTGAAAATTTGAGATCGAATTAGAGTGATTTGTGTTTTACTTTGACTAAAAAGTTGTGTGTGTCCTTAACTTCCCGAACAGAACATTTGAACAAACCATCTAGTTACTCATTCATCAAGTGCGTGTAAGTTCAACATGATAGTAATTATCTACGCTGTTTTCAGCTTTTAGGAACCCGTATTTGATATGGCAAAGAAAAATATTATACAAAATTGATGAAAGAAATAAGGAACCAGATATGTTGCATTTTGCGTTCATTCATATTTCAATTAAAAAATTGGTTGTGAGTTTGGTAGTTTCTCTCTTTGTACTGATTGTGGGGCTTGGAAATGCAGATAAACTGGCTTGTTAATTTCGCAGCACGGATTCAAGAATTTGATTAATTGGATTATCGAATGTAATTTTTTTTTTCTTTTTCATTTTTGTTGTTGCAGTCCTTATCTGTTTTTCATCTCTTAAGTATTCCGTTGATACGTAAGTGGTGATGTTTTACATTTATGATTCATTGATTCTAGAATTATGAAGATTTGAAAGGGAAAGTATGGGATGGTTCTCTAAGTGTAAATTTCTGTTTGCATGCTTCAGTTTGGATCTTGTAGGTTTTTTCATCAACTATGTCAAAATTGTTGTTTATTTTTGTGTTTATCAAGTGAGTTCTCATACCACTAATTTAAGGATATTTACTTTCTGGAAAAAAGAAAAGAAAAAAGGACTGGGTAACACACATCTATGGTCCATTTACTGGCAATCGGTTTCTGTTTATGGTTTTGGCTTTTAAGAACTTCAGTGCTAACAATTTTTTTTTGTATTTGTTTTGTTTTAACGCCGTCTGTTACGTTGTTCCGAACTTCTAATTATTAAGAATTTTGTGTTAAAAGCTGTTTGTTGTCTTTTTATCTCATATCTGCTAACTTTTTTGACTTAACTGCTTTTTTCTATTTATCAACTTTTTATCCTTTTAACTTCTTTCAACCATTTGCTATATTTATTTTGATTTGTGGTTCTTAAATTATAAATATGTTTTTTTTCCTTATCAAGTAAATTCTTAGGTAACACATGTACTGTATTGTTTCTCAAGTGGATTCACATTTGTGTTGTTTTCATTATTCTTTTATGCTTCTATATTTCTTCTTGCTTCTTTAATGCTTAACTAATGAATGGATTCGCCATGGCAGATTCGTCCTGGACTTTTACAATGGCAGAAAAACACAGCGCAAATGGTCCACCTGCAAATGGGAAATCAGTGGGGGGTAATGCATATACCATTGACTTGACTACCTTCAGTCAGCGGTTGCAGGCTCTCTACACTCATTGGCGTCAGCACAAAGATGAGCTCTGGGGCTCTGCTGATGCCCTTGCTATAGCCACACCTCCCCCTTCAGAGGATTTGCGCTACTTGAAGTCCTCTGCTTTGAATATCTGGTTGCTTGGTTATGAGTTTCCAGAGACGATTATGGTTTTCGGAGATAAGCATATTCATTTTCTGTGCAGCCAAAAGAAGGCAACACTTCTTGAGGTTGTGAAAAGGTCTGCTAAAGAGGCTGTAGGTGCAGATGTTGTCATGCATATTAAATCCAAAAGTGATGATGGTAGTATTCTAATGGATGCCGTGTTTCATGCTCTTCGTTCTCAGTTAAAACCGGATGGTAGCTCTGCCCCAATAGTTGGACATATTGCTAGAGAAGCTCCAGAAGGAAAATTATTGGAGATGTGGGATGATAAGGTAAAGAATTCAGGTCTCCAGCTTAGTGACATGACAAATGGATTGTCTGATCTTTTCTCGGTGAAGGATAAAAATGAAATTACATGTGTAAAGAAAGCTGCATACTTGTCTGCATGTGCAATGAAGAATTTTGTGGTTCCAAAAGTTGAGAAGGTTATCGATGAGGAGAAGAAAGTCACCCATTCCTCGTTAATGGATGATACAGAGAAGGCAATACTTGACCCGGTGAAGATTGGTGTCAAACTGAAGGCCGAGAATGTAGATATCTGTTATCCTCCGATCTTTCAAAGTGGTGGAACTTTTGATCTCAGGCCTAGTGCTTCAAGCAATGATGAATATCTATACTATGATTCTGCAAGTGTTATCATCTGTGCCATTGGATCAAGATATAACAGCTACTGCTCCAACATTGCCAGAACATACCTCATTGATGCAAATACGGCGCAGAGCAGGGCCTATGAAGTTCTTCTTAAGGCCCATGAAGCGGCAATTATTGCATTGAAACCAGGAAATAGGGTCAGTGCTGTTTATCAAGCGGTCCTTGCTGTGGTGGAGAGGGATGCTCCCGAGCTGGTTCCAAACCTGACAAAATCTGCAGGTACAGGCATTGGTTTGGAGTTCCGCGAATCAGGGTTGAGCCTTAATGCAAAAAATGACAGAGTGCTGAAGGCAGGAATGATTTTTAATGTTTCAATTGGATTCCAGAATCTACAAGCTGGGACTATCAATCCCAAGAGTCAGAATTTTTCATTGTTACTTGCAGACACAGTGATTGTGACAGAAATGAAGAAACTGCTCGACGCCTTGCTGGTGAAGGATCTGGAAGTGGGGAAGGGCGTTCTACTGTGAGGTCTACAAGTGAGCTAGTTGCGTACAAGAATGTCAATGAACTACCTCCACCGAGGGATATGATGATTCAGGTTGACCAGAAGAATGAGGCCATTCTCCTACCGATTTATGGAAGCATGGTGCCTTTCCATGTAGCTACTGTGAAGACTGTCTCCAGCCAGCAGGATACCAATCGTAATTGTTATATCCGGATCATATTTAATGTCCCCGGTACTCCCTTCACTCCTCATGATACAAACTCTTTGAAAAATCAGGGGGCTATCTACTTGAAGGAGGTTTCATTCCGCTCCAAGGACCCAAGGCACATAAGTGAAGTGGTGCAACTGATTAAAACACTTAGACGAAATGTCATGGCTAGGGAGTCTGAAAGGGCTGAGAGGGCTACTCTTGTCACTCAGGAAAAACTTGTGCTCGCAGGCAACAAATTTAAACCAATCAAGTTATATGACCTGTGGATCCGTCCTCCATTTGGTGGCCGTGGTAGAAAGTTGCCTGGCACATTGGAAGCTCATGTTAATGGTTTTAGATATTCGACATCAAGGCCAGACGAACGGGTAGATATCATGTATGGTAACATAAAGCATGCATTTTTTCAGCCAGCTGATAAGGAGATGATTACACTTCTTCACTTTCATCTCCACAACCACATTATGATTGGAAACAAGAAAGTCAAAGATGCCCAATTCTATGTTGAAGTGATGGAGGCGGTCCAAACAATTGGAGGTGGAAAGAGATCCGCTTATGATCCAGATGAGATTGAGGAGGAACAGAGGGAGAGAGATCGAAAGAACAAAATTAATGTGGACTTCCAGAATTTCGTGAATCGGGTGAATGATCTGTGGGGACAAGCTCAATTTAAAGGCCTTGACCTGGAGTTTGACCAGCCTCTAAGAGAACTTGGATTCCACGGAGTACCGTACAAAGCTTCTGCTTTCATAGTTCCGACTTCTAGCTGTTTGGTTGAACTGATAGAGACTCCTTTCCTTGTGATTACCTTGAGTGAGATTGAGATTGTAAATTTGGAGAGAGTTGGTCTTGGACAGAAGAATTTCGACATGGCCATTGTCTTCAAGGACTTCAAGCGTGATGTAATGCGAATCGATTCCATCCCATCTTCTTCACTTGATGGCATTAAGGAATGGCTTGACACTACAGACATCAAATACTATGAGAGTAGGTTGAATCTCAATTGGCGTCCAATATTGAAGACCATCACTGATGATCCACAGAAATTTCTAGAGGACGGTGGCTGGGAATTTCTGAATCTGGAAGCTACTGACTCAGATTCAGACAACTCGGTAGACTCAGACCAAGGTTATGAGCCATCAGATGCAGAGCCGGTTTCAGAGTCTGAGGATGATGACTCAGACAGCGAATCGTTAGTGGAGTCTGAGGATGAAGAGGAAGAAGATTCAGAGGAAGACTCGGAGGAAGAGAAAGGTAAGACGTGGGATGAGTTAGAGAGGGAAGCTAGCAATGCAGACAAGGAGAGGGATGAATCAGACAGCGAGGATGAGAGGAGAAGAAGAAAGGCGAAGGCTTTCGGCAAGTCAAGGGCTGCTCCTAATATTGCTGCTGCATCAAAGCGAATGAAGTTTAGGTAGACAAATGGAAGGTCTAGTTTGTTGAGTTCAATGTTTTGGTGCCTTCCTGTGGTTTAGTAGTTGCGATGGAATAGAATGTTGGTATTAGTTTCATTTTATTCAGTTAATTTGAGTGTTTGATCTTATTCCAGCCGGTGTTCTGCTTTTTGTTAGATGCTTATTTAACAGATTTTGTCTTGTAAATTGGTGACTCTAGCTTTATTTGATATAGAAGTAATTTTGTTTTTATTATTTTTGGGTTGTTGATGTCTTGTTTTGACTAGGATTTCACAGAAAGTTGCAATTAAGCTATATGGTTGTGTCATAAATCTCTGACGGTCAATTTATCTTTCGTAAAAACATCTCCGATGGAATGGAGAGCTGTAAAAAAGATGTATATTGCATTTTTCAATAGAAAATATAAAAAGTGGATATAGATCTCTTTATTGGAGTAAAATTTAGATTTAGAATTAACGGGAGGTGAAATAATTTTGAAAATATCAAATTTTACGTTGGAGAGGTGCTCGAACGTAGTTGAGTTGTTTTGTGGAACTGGCTTAAATCCATTTTGAACAATAGTCCCCTGAAATCAGTAGTGTGTATATATATCGGAGGCCAAAGTACCACCACCACAACCATACGCTGGCAGTATCCATCGGACAATCACTGTCTCCATTCACAACCGCCACATCGGGTCCCGACAAACCCAACCATATTTCCAGCTCCCATTCTTCCGTTCTTCGCGGGTAAGATTATTCTCTTGCTACAGGATTTACCTCCCTTTCACTTCTCGCTTCACTATGAAATTAAACTATCAAAAATCGAAGGCAAGTGATTCTCTGTGTTTCTGCGTAATTTTATAAAGTAACACCGGTTCAACAATTTTGGGATGGGGGCTTAAGCACCCGATGATGTTTTTCGTTTTATTTTTCAATTTTATTGTCCACCGTCGATCAAATATTTTCTATTTTCTTGTGGTAGGATCAGTTGGTGTTTAGGGTATATTCCCTTCCTGATTGCTGGAAAGGGAAACATACTTTAGTGGGTGAATTTTCTGCATGTGTTCCAGGTGGCTTAGATGTCCAATTGAGGATTATGATTGTAAATAGCCTCGTGACTATTCTTGGTATGAATTTTTAAGTTTACCATCTCAAGGAGTTAATCCTTATCAATGCATGTTTTAATTCTAGCAGCACCTAAATATTCTTAAAAGGTTTGTGAAGGTTTTAGATTCTCTAGCACAAACACTTCAACTAAGTAGCGTGTCGACGCTCTTCAGATACTCTACCATAATCATTTTTCTTTTTTTTACTAAAAATATACATTTTTAGCTTAAAATTTTTAGCAAATAACAATAGGTGCTCATATTTAAAAGATTTCAATAAGAAAAATGTATAACAAGCGTAAAACTGAATTTATACTATATAAATGAAAATTTTTAAATGACCCAATCAACCTGCCGTGTCAATATTTTTTTGAAAAATCAAGTGTCGACATATCCGACACATATCGTGTTGGTCACACGTGTCCGTGTATCATAGGTTTTAGAGTATTGTTAGGATTAATGGGGGAAGTAATTTAATGAAAAGAAATGTTTTTCAGTTTTGAAAATATATTTGCAATTGATAAGGCGAGAGATGGAGAGAGTTCACGATCATTGTTTGTTTATCCCAATTGTAGATTGAGCATCATTGAAAAGTCTTTCAATGCTCGTTGCTATTCAAATTTAGGAGTTCGGATTATTTTCATGATTGGTTCAGAATACCTATTTTTGCTGCAGATGACAATGGATGAAGTATTGACTGTAAAGGATGCAGTTCACAAGCTGCAACTCTCTTCTTTAAGGCATCAAAGATGAGAACCAACTAGTTGCTGCTGGGTCATTGATGTCTCAGAGTGACTACCAAGATGTGGTGACAGAGCGCACAATAGCTAACACGCGTGGTCACCCACTCTGCAAAAATTCTCTCCCTTTTGAGCGGCCTCGGAAGGGGCATTACCGAATATCACTTAAGGAGCTTAAAGTATATGACCTTCATGAAACGTACATGTATTGTTCTTCTAGCTGTTTGATAAATAGTCTGGCATTTGCTGGGAGTTTGCAAGAAGAGAGATCCTCAACTCTGAACCCAGAAAAACATAATGAGGTTCTGAATATGTTTGAAGGGTTGAGTTTGAACTCTAAAGTGAACATGGGAAAGAATGGAGGTTTAGGATTGTCCAAGTTGAAGATTCAGGAAAAAACCAATACGAAAGCTGGGAAGTTTCCGTAGATGAATGGATTTGGTCCCTCAAATGCTATTGAAGGCTATGTCCCACAGAGAGATCGCGATTTGAGACCCCGACAAGTGAAGAATCCTAGAAAGGTACTGGACTAGAGCAACTTGGCAGATTTAGATTACTGATTTACCAGTGTTCATGTTAGTTTTTAAGTAGCCAATTTTGTCGTCGTTGTAACACATGATTCAGTTTTCCTAGTTCATCAAATCCTGGCTGTTGATTCATGTAATCAGTGTATGCATGTTGCAGAATCTGAACCCAAGCGCGAAGAAGCAAATGAATTAGACATCATATTCAATGATATGAACTTCTCAAGTAGTAAAATTACACAAGATGAGTACAGCATTTCAAAACTACCGGGTCCAAGAAAAATTGTCCCCCATATCAAAGGTGAAGATCCAAAAGGAAAAGTGAGTCGTGAAGATGCAAGGGATGAGGAAAGCACTGTGCAAAACCCAGCTGCTACAGTGGGAAGCATACTAGAAGCAAAATTGTATAAATCTGATAAAAACAAGTCTGGGGATGACAAGCTTAATGTGCTAGAAGTGTCCCCTGGAAATAGGCAAAATGATCATAGCAGAAAGGCGATGAAGGAAGAAACAGACTACAACCATGGGAAGTTATCTACAGCTACTTCCACTAAGCTCAAATCTTATTTAAAAACTTCAGATGAGAAAAAAGCAATCCGCTCTGCTACTTGGGCTGATGAGAATGCTCCCAGCGAGGGGTAAAACCTTTGTGAATTCAGAGAATTAGATGATAAGAAAGAAGTTGTGGAATCAAACTCCAGAGACGTGGAAGTGGGTGAAGAGTCGTATAGATTTTCATCAGCAAAAGCCTGTGCAAGTGCTCCAAGCCAAGCAGCAGAAGCTGTTGCATCTGGAAAGTTTGATGTATCTGATGCAGGTGCAAAATGTTATTTTCTTTAATATACAATATATCTTTGTTTAAAGGTGCCTATTTTACTCGAGATTCTTGTCCATTATGGTTATCAATTTCTCATTGCATTTGCGATCTAATTTCTGAAGCGGGAGTTATTATATTACCGCCACCTCATGAACTGGATGAAGCTGAACCTCAACAAAATGGTGATGTTATGGATACTGACCCATCTGTTTTAAAGTGGCCTTCAAAACCTGGTTTTACCAAATCATGATCTGTTTGACTTTGAGGATTCTTGGTATGAGAGTCCCTCGGAGGGTTTTAGTTTGACTGTAAGTTCTTTTAACTCCTAAACTACATTTTTCACCTTTCTAGATTTTATGCATAATTTGTTTCACTTGCAATTGACATTTGGCATTTGATTCAGTTATCACTTTTTTCAACAATGTGTGGCTCTTTTTGCCTGGATATCATCATCCTCTGTGGCCTATATATATGGACGTGATGTAAGTATCATGAAGAATATTTATCCATCAGTGGGAGGGAATATCCTCACAAGATTGTAATGAAAGATCGTCGCTCCTCTGAAATC